ATATATACATATATACATATGTATATATATGTACACACATATGTAGGCATGTATGTAAAATAAATATAAGGTGATTGAGGCAGGGAGGGTAATTAAGAGATCTTTGGTAACTTTGGAGAGAGCACTTTCAGTTTAATGACTTTCAGGTCATAAGCCAGATTGCAAAGGGTTAAGAAATGAGTAAGAAGAGAGGAAGTGGAGGCAGTGAGTGAATATGGTTTTTTCTAGGAGTTTGACTAAGAAAAGGAGGTGAGAAATAGGATAATAGCTTAAGTAGCTTGAAGGGATGATAGTGTCTAGAGAGAAATTTTAATTTATTTTATTTTTTTACTGAACCATATTTATTTTTTCTTTTTGTTATAAATTTAACAAACACCAACAAACATGAACATTGTAATATATAAAGAAAAAGAAGGTTCTACATGTAATTGTACATTTTTATTACATGCAATCTGTTTTTAGGAATGTATTTCATTGAATACAATAACAAAGCTGTCCTGTTTGCCTGTGTCCCCTCTGAATTCCCTTCTGTTTTCTTCTGTCTTTTTAAATGTTTCACTGACTCTTTTCTTTCTTTCCTTTTATGGAAGTATCTATGATTATTCATCAATGCACTCCTCCCACTAATTGAAGACCTTCCTAGTTATAAATAATTATATTTAGGCAAAACAAACATATTAGACATGAACATATTTATAGACAGTGGAAAAGGATCCAATAGATAAAGACTGAATATGAGAGAGAGAGATGAGATCATCATGGGGACAATCTGTTGGAGAAAATGGAAGGGAATGAGGTCAAGGTCACATTTGGCGTAAAGGAAGAGCAAATAGGGGATGATGTCAAAGGGGTTATGAGAGGTGGAGATAGGGAGAGGGAGCTAAAGTGAATGGCTTCTATTTTCGTAGCAGAGTATGAGGTGATGTCCTTGGCTGAGTGGGGAGGAGAAAGGGGATGGTTTGGGTGGTAAGAGGAGGAGGGAAAAAAAAATTTGGAAAATTGCTGTAGGGAATGGGATAGAAAATCAATTAGGGAGGAGTGAAAGGATTGCCTTGTGAGGAAATTGCTTTGCAAACTTAGAAGTGCTATGCGATTTTTTGTGCTCCCAGAATCACTGCATCAAGAGCACTGTTCTTGTGGAAGCCATGTTCACCACCCCCAATGTTATCTAGCCACAGCAATTTCTTGACCTCCAGGTTTGTGGAATGAATCACCACATTAGATACACAGAACCGAGTTTGAAGAGACCTCTGATGACATCTATTCTAACATAAACCTCAACAGGAATACCCTCTGAAACATCACCAATGAGTGCCAATCCAGCCTTCATTTGGAGACCTCTATTGAAGGGGACTCCTCCCCTCCCAGGGACAGCCTATTCCTTTTTAGGGGAATTTTTAGGGAAGAATTTTCCACGTATCAAGTCTAAATATGCCATCCACTGCCGTCTGGGAGTAAGCAGAACAAACCAAATTCTTCTACATGATAGCTCTTTAAGTACTTATGGACAGCTATCTTGTCTCTGCTGCCTTTTCTCGTCTGGGCTTAATATACTCAATTACGTCAAAAGATCTTCCTGTAGCATAGTTTTGATGTTGCCATGCTGTGGATATATTTGAACTTCTCTATATTCTTCTAAATTTGTGATGCCATTGCTATTTCTACCTTTACAATACCTCATGTATTTAACCCCTTCTCTACTCACCCAGCCACCCCATTGGTTCAGGTGTTCATCACCTCTTGTATCAGTTATTTCAGTGGCTGCCTAATTGTCCTCTGTGTCTCATATCTTTCCCCACTCTAGTTCATCCTCCATCTACACTGCTGCCCAAGTGATTTTTCCTTAAAAGCATATCTGATCTCGTCACCTCCCTGCTCAGTCAATTCCAGTGGCTCCTTATCATAACTCCTTTAGGATAAACTATACTTTTCTTTTTAGCATTTAAGGCCCTGCACAACCTGCCTGTCTTTTCA